CTCTCTGCGTCTCGGTTTGACTCACAACTTTAGTAACTTTTCCCAAGTCGGGTCCCTTCATTACGGGATACATAATTTAACAACATATATCTCAGTAAAGTTCCCATCGTTGAAAGATTGAAGGCAACTTGTTGGTGGGTGAGACAAACATGATCGAAAAATGCATATACTCAACGTCAGTGGCACAAACCCATGATGGCGAATTATTACTATTATCTTATAGCTGCCTTTTGACTATATCTTATAATTGTATTGGTTGGTGGAGCATATGTGTCAATCTCATGCGGATGGTAGCTGGAGGGAGAATCTGAGGAGACTCTCAAGGCTGCGGCGTGCAACGTGGGACCCCATTCCCTTGAGATGAGCGGTAGACTCATGACACACTCTGCCGCCAATTGGCCGTACTGGTCATGCAATTGGTGGTGATGCCTTATACTTACATCACGTCTGCAGGAATGGCGGTCTGACAGGTGGTGGTGCTCACGGAGGGATTTTTTTGTGTGCCTATTGTTTCCTTATCCGTGTGACGTACATTCACTGTGGCTGGATTTGGTCGTATTCTGTATTGCGTTTACACGCATTGACATGCGCGACTTCGGTCGATGTTTGTGCTTAAGCACTACCAAGAGGCCAAGCCCACTTTTACTGGTTCGCCAGTTATTTTGCTGTGGACTACGGTCCAGTTCCCAACTTTACGTCCCCTTCGGAGGGAACGCGTTGATTGGTTGGCGCTCACCGCATACGGTGTGTGTGGAGCCGTGTGCCTCCCCCACATTTTTTTTTAAATTTAGAAGAGCGAAGCCTTTGCATCTGGTATTTTATCTAAATATTGTGAGCCTTTTTCAAGCAGAAAGGGATTAATTAATAAAGACTTGACTGTTGTGAACCTGATACAAGTGCAATAGGGACGATTTATTGTTCTTAGCCTGTTTTGAGCTCTGTCTTCGTGAACGAAGTTCTTTAGCTTATAAGACGCTACGAACAGCTTTCGATTGCTCTAGTGAATATTCATCCAATCTTCCAAGATACACCTAAAAGAACTAAGTTACTATACAAACACAATGTTCATAAGGGTCTTAATTAAGACGAACACACCATAAATTTATTAATTGGCCTATATTTAAACTTTTGTATGGTTAATACACTGGTCATGTAAATTTGAAATAATTTATATATCTTATATATTTATATATATATAAATTCTAAAAAAAGAAAAAAAGAGGGGTTGGGAATGTTAAAAGTGGTAGACCGCCAAGCATCAAGACGGTGTGGACGGTATCGTGAGTTTTGTCGCGATCTGCCTTTGTGAAACTTGGTAGCTGAAATTAGTCCGAACAATTCCTCAAAGCACTCTCCGTGGTAGATGCGATAGAAAATTCAAAAGGATGCAACATCTCTTCGCAGCGCCAGTGAATCGTGCGCATCGGAAAGTACTTGGTCGTCGAAGATTCGAGCCGCATTGCACTGAATGCGGTCAAGTGGAAGGAGCTGGCACCGGGAAGCCCCAGACAAGAGTTGGGAACAGTATTCTATGTGTGGCTGAACCTGTGCATTGTAAGGTTACAAGCGGTGTGAAGGAATAAAATACTGTCCCGTTCTGCTGAGCACGCCAAGCTTTGTAGAGGATAATTTGTCATTCTTCCAAGTGACAAAACTGCACATTATTCGATATGTCGACGCCGAAGATTCCAATACTGGGCAGAGGCAACATAGGGAGTGCTTTGAAACGGAAGATATACGACAAAGGGGTCTTTTTAGTGATAAACGCGCAAATTTGTCTTCTGGGGTTTAAACTTAGCTCCGACCGCATGGACAGTTTCCACGAGCATATTATTCACAATATCATCCATTGCAATCCTATAGGCACTAAAGCGATTTGTAACTCGACCTGAAAGTTTGCGGGACTTTGCATTAGGGATCAAGGTAAACGGAGCGTTGACTTCATTAGACGTGACCTCTCCAACTTATTATTTAGGTTCAGTGTGCCTCTCACCATTCGATGACGACTACACAGTTACCATCTAATCATCACAATGGAGTAAATCTCATTTTTGTCAAACCGGCCGGTCTCGACCAGGTCCACATTCTGTGGGGCTGCTTCTAGAAGAAATAATTTATCGTAAAGAGTCCCTCTTTCTCCATGAAGTTACCGCCTACTGGTCCCTTGGATTCCGTTTCTCTTTCCTGAGTATCCTAACCTTCTATTTTTTTATTTTAATTTTTCTTATTTTTTTATTTTTATTTTTTTATTTTTACCGTTCTCTCTTGTGCCTAGTTTTGCTTTGAATTCTCATATTAATACCGTATAGTGAGTTTGAAGGAATGTATGCCTCTAATATAATCTAAGTAGTCTGTATATCTAATATCCTCATACGTTTCCTTCATCTTCCCATCGGTATGTGCCAAGGTTGGTGGGTAAACCTGTATGACCTGCAGCGTAATACTAATAATACCCTTTGGTAATTCTGAGCATAAGATATCCTCATCTACACACTCCCAATCATTTCTACGTGGTTAACGAGAGATTCGAGGATAACCGTATCCTCTCCCTCTTTTCGTACCTCGTATAAACCTATAATATTCCAGCGCAACTTGTACATCTCTTCTTTCAGCTCCTGGATCTTCTAGTAATTTCTCAGGGTACGTGTGTTATATGTTGCCAGGTCGAGTCGTTTTAAATGGCAAACGAACCTCGACCGGAGATTATTAGCACCCCCTGTCCCGCCATTATCATGGCTGCCACCGTAGCCAGGAATAGCAGTGCTGCCGGGGACAAGGGGCCATCTCTTCGTTACTTCCATCATGGGAGGTATATTGCCACAGTTGCCACGCTTGGCGAGCGGGTTGGTAACCGCAGTTTTCTACTGTTATTTTTATGTTATTAGAAAGATGCTGCTGCCTATCTTCTGCCTCAGTTTCCCTCTTTCGCCTCTTATCGCAATCACGGGAAGATATGGGTTAGTGGGTATCCTTGTCCACCACTACATGAGTTGGCGTCGGGTGGCGTGTTTTATTCATCTTCAATACAGCCCGTATCGAATAAGAGATCGAGCGAAACCAGGGCTGCAAAGTTTTTGCCAGAGATCTGTCTACCAGAAAAAGCCAACTTTCAAAGCTGAAGACAGAATGTGGTAGTATCGTTTCTGGGACACCTGAGATTTCGAGTAAAATGTAGTGGTTCTACGAGCAACTGATCACGACATTATTAGAGCCACACACATGTGTGAGTAACGATCCAAATTTAAGTCTTATCTGGCACTACTCCGATGATTACCCGGACGTCAATCTGAGCGAGATTATGATGGCTCTCCATCACTTTAAAAATGGCAAGGCCCCGGGTTAGGATAGAATTACAGCGGAGCTTCTGAAAGTGGGTGAAAAACCGAAACTTTAATTAATTCCGTCTTCCATGGTGGTATTATTCCGTAAACGTGGAGCAGAAATTCGGTTGTGTTGTTCTTCAAGAAAGGCGACAACGCTCTCTTGAAGAACTATAGACTGATTTACGTTCTGAGCCACGTCTATCTGCTCTTTCTACAAATTGTCTCGTACGCAAACTCGATGATTTCCAGCCTCCCGAACAAGCCGGTTTCCGAAAAAACTTTAATACCATAGACCACATACATACATATCCTTTGGTAAATTGTATAGAAGACCAAAGAGTACAATCTGCCACTTTGCCTTGCGTATGTAGGCTATGAGAAAGATTTCGACACCGTCGAAATTTGGGCCGTGCTACAGTTCCTTCCGTAGTGCCAAGTTAACTGTAGTTAGTACAGTGGGGCTACAACGGCTGATGGCTATTCGAGGTTAGAACGAGAATACGAAACCTATCTAACTGCTGTTATGTGTAAGACAGGATATCGTAATATCCCTGAAAGTCTTCACCGCTGCATTGGAAGACGTTTTCAAGCTACTGTACTTGAAAGAATACAGTATTAACGAGCACGTTACTGACGAGAAAATCCTTATTAAAGAATTGCTAGAGGACCTGAGCACTATACTCAATGACCTCACTATACTAATGCCTCCCAACGGATAGGCCTTAAGATGAACATGGACGCAACAAAATCATGTGTAACGTCCATGTCACACCTATGCCGTTGACGGGAGCACTAAGCTCGAAGTTGTTGACGAGTATGTTTTATTGGTACAAATAGTACGAGTAGATTAGAGTCAATTGACGAATTTAACTTGGCTGGGCTGCGTTCGACATTTTACGATACATCTTCTCGTCAGGCATACCTCAAAACCTCAAAAAAAGATTGTATAACCAGTGGCAAAACGCTAGTGATAACCTATCTTCTGCCAGTGATGATTATGGATCTGAGACGTGTTAATTCACTGATGGCCGTATGAGAAAAGTCTAGTTCGTTTTGCGATCTATAGAGACTTTTAGAGGGTTATGCTTGGGGTTTATGTGCAAAAAAAGAGGGTAGTAAGTACAGTACAATAGAACCAAATTAATCGACACTGCCCAACATATAGCTCGAAGAATCGACAATCGATGGGGAAGAAAGGATCTCGAGTGGCAGCCTCGTACCGGCAGGTGAAGTTTAGGACATGCCCTCGCTAGATAGAGTGTTGACTCGGTAAGCTTGCAAGAAGTCAATGGATGCAGGTGGCTTAGGACCGTGTTTTGTGGCATTTCTTAGGGGATTTCTTTCTTTAGCAGTGGACTTGTGAAGGGCTGTAATGATGATGATGATCCATCAGCCAGGTAATTAGGTTCAATCTATAAGATCTTTTCCATTTCTTATAGCCTCTTCTACACCCACGGGACGAAATGGGTTGATGATAATTTTTGCGCCGACACCACTTCAATATTATTTTTATGCATAAAATAATAAGATTTTAATAAATAATAACAAACTTTTTTATATTTATTAAAAAGTTTTAGTTTAATTCAATTTTAGTTTATTCAATTTTAGTTTATTCAATTTTTAATATTTTTTTTCGATATAATGAATATCTTAAACAATAAACTTTAAATATTTTTCTCATCGCGTTCTCCTCTCTATAGAAATATGGTGCCCATATACTGATTTCAACACCATATCAATCTTTGCTTTTATCTTGGAATGATCTCCTTTCACGCGATAATGCCGTAGTAGGTGAGCTAGTGTAGTCTTCATCGACATAAAAGCAAATGGTTTTCCTGTGGGATCACAAATAAATTTTATATTTTTATAATTATATGAGATAGTGCTTCATTGCAGCTATATTATGCCTGCAGTACGATTCAATCACCTCGAACGGTCCAGGACGACGCCTTCTGCTAATGCAGCCTTCGCCTAATGCTGCCGTTTCTCGTATAGTGAGTGACGAGAATTATTTTTACTGGTGATGAGACCTACCATCTTAGTATTCAAAGGTGACAACGCAACTAGATTAAAAAATAATTTTTAATCAAGGATAAATTAATGTGTTTATAATGCTGCGTAAAGACTTGCAATGTAATACTCGCTCGAGAGAACATAGAGTCAGTCTGCTCAGAACACTTTTTTTTATAGAATAAGTGTGACAAACGAGCACACAGTCCACATGATGGTAAGTGGATTTTTAGGCCCGTAGACATCTACATTTATCCTCAATTAAGAATCAAAATTCAGATGCGTTGTCACCCCTGAGAACTGAGGTGGAATGCCTCGTTTCCAGTAATAAGAGTCTCCCAGTCTCCTTTTCTCTACATTCACCATACGAAACACAGCATTTTACGCTGGTTTTCTGTGAGATCTTGGTCCTTCCCCGGTTGGGCCGACCTATTCGTGCTATAAATATATTACTAATAACAGCATGGCTCATGGCAGCATGGCTCTACCACGTTATTCAAGTTTTAGATTGGCTTGAACAGTCGCCCGACTTAAATCCTATCGAGCATGCCTGGGATACGTTACAACAAAAAGCTTTGAAAGATTTTCCGCCAAATTTGTTTCGTATGGTGAGTGTAGAGAACCGGAGACCCTTTTTACTGGAAAAGAGGCAATCCAACTTAGTCCTCACGGGTGACAACGCATCTGCATTTCGATTCGCAAACGAGGATAGATGTAGATGCCTATCGGCCACAGCAACCACTTACCATCAGGTGGACTGTGTGCTCGTTTATCACCCTATCCTATAAAAAAAAATATCATTTCTAAAAAAAGGGTCACCGGTGTTCTACACTCACCATAGGTTTAAGCTTCTATATGTACGAGTATTTTACGCTGGTATTCTGTGAGAGCGTGTGACTTGAAATATGTGAGATAGTGCCTCGTTGCAGCTATATAGCATAGCGTGCGCATGAAATGGACAGTACGCGCGCACAAGCCGATCAGACTATGAAAATTTCTTACAAAGTGTGCAATACTCGTAAGCATGGTGCATTATGTGGATGGCAAATCCTTTCATTTTTGTCTGTCTTTCAGTTACGTTTCATGTTACGTTGCTTAAGTCTGTATGCGCCATAAGACAAACATATATTTTTTTATAGGATAAAGGGTTACAAACGAGCACACAGTCCACCTGATGGTAAGTGGTTGCTGCGGCCCATAGACATCTACATCTATCCTCTGTTACAAATCAAAATGTAGATGCGTTGTCACCCGTGAGGACAAAGATGGAATGCCTCATTTCCAGTAAAAAGGGCCTCCGGCCACCTGCACTCACCAAGCGAAACGCAGAGGTAAACCTCTACTTCACGCTGGTTTTCTGTGAGGTCGTGGTACTACCCCGGTTCGAACCGGCCCATCCGTGCGACAGCAAAAGCTGCTGCGTGGCTCTACCACTGTTAAATATATTCATAGTTCAAACACTTTAAAAAGATATGACACATTTTCTAAACCGAGAAAATAATAAAAATAATGAATTGCTAATGTGAAGTGAAACCATTTACTTAGCCACTGGGTTACACATTAGTATACTAGATTTTATTGTTGGGTCAGTGGTCGTAAGAACGAAATGAAATTCCATTCATGAAATTCTGGTTTTAAATACTTTACCGGGTTTAATCAATTCAAAATCAAAAAGCTTTTCTTTAAAATAAATTCTCAATCTTGTTCGATGTTAGAAATTTAGTAGTGTTTCTGCGCATAATCTGTCTTTGGGCGTATCGGCTTGTCGTCCCATAGAAGACTACGAGAGTAAGGTAATGAAGAGTGATTCTGTCCTTAAGCACACACTCTTGCACTATTATATAAGATGATATTATTGCAATACTAGCCTTGTATGGAAGGTCATAGCTTCAGTCCATTAAGTATTTCTTCTATTTATTTGCAAAATTTACAAGGCAAAGAAGTTATAGAATATTTTACATACCAATACAAACCCTCTTTCCCATGTGAAAAGCAGCAAAAGCAGTAGCACACGAAGGTAAAGTCGCTGTATCTAGCCATCGTTCTGGTTTGAACTCTTCACAGTCATCTCCCCAAATTGGATGACGGTGGATACCATAAATAAACAAAAAACATGTTCGCCCAGCTGTTAGTGTATAATTTTCTGAAAATAATTATATTTTTCCGTGTTTCTTTTTGTATGCTAAAACAATATCAGATCAATATTGCCTGTCAAAAAATTTCAATGTACGTATCCGTGTTTCTTGGACTTTAGTAGTATATAATGATCATTCTAATTACTATTACAATCGGCAAAAGGCTCTCTTAACGCCATTTTGTGAATTGAGTGTACAGTGGCATAAAATAGTCCAAAATTTGCGTCAAAAGATTGATTTAAGATGTTAAAATAATTTAGCTAAGATCTGCGTTAAAAATAAAAATTATATGTCTTACCTAGCGTAAAGAGCACTTCCCGCCCTCCCTAAACTGTGTGCACTATCCATGTCAACGCTAACCCCAACACCACTACACTAAGAAAGAAACACTCCCGAAAATATGACACGGGTTCAGACTCTAAACGACAGAAATAATGAATTCGGCAATGGCTGACCGTTAAGTAAGCTGCGATTCCTAGATACGGTGATGTTAGTGTTTTTTTTGGCTTTTACAGCTTCATCGGACGCAAGTGAGCGGCGATTCAAAACCGTTGGCCTTTTATACAACTCGCTGATGTAACAGCTTCCCACCCAAATAGTGAACAACTACGTCACGCAATGAATCATGCAAGCAGTCACTAACCTGACCTCTGCAGCCGTTTTCTGTAAAATAAACCGCTGCAAAACGTCCACATACTCAGGGTTGAGCGAAATACCAACATGTTTTCAAAAAACTGTATTTAAATCTAATTAGGACACGTCCTGACAAAGTAAGATGTGGTTTAAGAATGAATGATCTCATTATATAGCTTACACTGTTATCTTGTGTCAAAATAATGAGAATTAAGTTAATAAAAGTATCAAGTTATTAGGTCTAACTATAGTATAACATAATTGCCAAGGGAGCGTTGCTGAAGATATAACTACCCTTTAACTACGCAACTAATCGCTGACTACAGTGCGGATCGCAAACGACCACACTGCGGGACTCATGTAGCAGGCTTAAAAATGTTAAGGAAGGTCAATTAAGAGCATTTTATTTTTCATTCATCAGTGCTGTTTCACAAGAGCGTCATAATTAAACCATTGTACAACCCAATAGAGCCTTTTATAGTGTGGTAGTGGTGAGAGATATGTTGTTTGGGTTAGCGTCGACGATTAGTGCAAACTTTAAACTGGGTAAGACACATCATTTTTAATTTTTTGTACTGTTATTAGTCAAATAATTTTGACAAGCTTAATATAATGGATTTTCGCAAAGTAACACCTGATTCGATTAACTATCAAATGATTGACTTTCAGTTAGCTAAATAAATTCGATATTGTATTCTTACTAAATAAAAAAAAAATAACAGGCAATTCGTTAAACATCAGCGTTGACCTTACGGAGATTAGCTGCTTATTATACCGGCGCATACATCGGGCGGTAATATATACAATAAAATACATTACCTATTTCTATATAAATACCTATATAAATTATTTTAGATCAAAAGCATAGGATAGTTTTTAAATAAAAGTATTTGTATCTTACTTAGCTTTACATCTTTATCAAGTATTCTAGCTGTCACTGGAACGATTGGAAATATGCGCAAGGATTCCTTCAAAACTGCTTCTAAATACACTAATCGAGACAAATCTTGTTTAGTAACGTCCCTATCGTCGTCTCCGAAAACATATTGTAACCTACGAAATAAAAGGCTAATTAATATATATATTCAACTGGTACCTTCATGCTGATAAGTGCTGTGTGTGAATAATTCAATAAGATATCCCGTTGTGTAAAGCAGGAAGTCAGTAAATGCAGTGACTCTGGATCTTGTTTTGCGGTTAACTTTTCTGATGTTGAAATAGAATAAAAGCTCCTTAGTAGATGTGTACATGTACGTGTTAATTTTGTTTTACGTCAATTTTTTTTATTCACAATAACCCAAAGAGTTTCTGGTCGTGTGTAAAATCAAAAATCGCACCACCTTCTGTTCCTCTTCGTCAAAAAATATACCATCTGTAATGACTTAAATGAGAAAAGGGCGTTAATTGTGTACGATACTTTTCACATGTTTTCTACTCATTTCGTCTCAAATCTTTAATCTTATTTAGAGAACTGTGCAGCACACCATGCTGACTAGTGTGTTTTGTCAAAACTCAAGAGATGTTAGAAATTTTATAAAAAAGATGAGCGATAGTAAACCTAGTGGGCATCCCACCACTTGTTGTTTGTTAATAAAGAAATGTACAGACTCACTAACACTTCAAAAAAAATTGAATCGTCGTTCCAGATGAGTGGAAACTTGTCAGAATGTTCTAAAATTCAAAAAGGTGATATTTTTATAGAATATGAGTCACAAACGATCATACAGTCCATCTGGTAAGTGGTTGCTGTGGCTTATAGACATCTACATCTATTTTCGTTTGCGAATTAAAATGCAGATGCGTTGTTAGCCGTGAAGACTAAGATAGAATGCCTCTTTTCCAGTAAAAAGTGTATCCAGTTCCCTACACTCAACATACGAAACACAGCAGCATTAAGCTGCTTTTTTACGCTGGTATTCTGTGAGCGCGTGGTCCTTCCCCGGTCGAACCGACCCATTCGTGCTACAATTTACGATTACGCTTGATTTTAAAAATTATTTTTCAAATACTACCCAAATTAAATAATTAAGTTCAAAATAAATACAATGATATTTTGCAGTTTTTAAAATTACGCATAAATAATGTTTACCTATTGTTTGATGAGGTTTTGCCTATTTTTCACTTCCTTAATGACACGCTCGTTACTATGTTGATAACTACGAGACGCGAATTATGATTTCAATGTTCCCTTCATTCCTTAAACGGGCTTAGGATCGTCCTAATAAATACGATGACGTGACTACCTTTAATATGACTTATTTTAAAAAATTAAGACACGTTCGACTCGAGTTTTTGCTGCAAAATACAAATTGCACGACACTCCTCTTGAAAAAGTCAACATTTTTTGCGATCTGCGAATTCTAATATACTCTAATTTTTTAAATACATAAATAACATAGCCGCTAGTAAGGCAAATGGATGTCTCAAATTTTTAAAATATCCTGTAAAGATTTTTACTCAATTTCACCTTTAAAAGTACTCTTGAATGCAAATGTAAAGTACGATTGACTAAGCTTCGCCCAATTGGAACTTGATTTATCGGTATCGAGTAAATACAAGAAAAATTGACATATTATATATTAAAATCAATAGAAAATCTCAATATAACTGAGATTTAATGCCATTACATAAAACTTTGAATTATAATCAGTAAGTAACAACAATATCTTTTTGTTCAAGTAATTCATAAGAAATAATAAGATAATAGTAGAACTATTACAAAAAATAGTGAAGTGTTTAATCTAAAAATCACCACACTAACTTACTTACTAACTCAGTACTGAACAAAATTACCACTAGATATAATAAAATTGTGTTATAAAATCGTAGCATTCAATACCATAACATGTAAAACTTTCAAGTATGGCTAATGTATCATATACAATAGTTTACACCTGTTATTGCAGTGTTCATATTATGATCGTAGGTTATTTTATTATGTGTCATCATCATTCCAGCCCTTCACAAGTCAATATAGCCCTTATAGTCCACATATACAAGATACAGAGACAGATTGTACTCCACGGTTTCCTGTACAATTTGCCAAAGGGTACGTATGTGGTCTCTAGTGCTAAAGCCTTTTTGGGAACCGGCATGTTCGGGAGGCTGGAAGTCGTTGAGTCTGTGTGCGAGGCGATTCATAATGACTCATGAAAACAGCACGTAGACGCGGTCTGAAGGAAAATCCGTTTGTAGTTCATCAAGACAGCGTTGTCGCCTTTTTTTGAAGAACATGACCACCGCACATCTGCTCCACGCCTCCGGTGTAGTGCCACCATGCAGGACGGAATTAAAGAGTTCTAAAGAACTTCAAGTACCAGTTTTCCATCCACTTTCAGAAGCTCCGCTGTAATGCCATCCTCGCCAGGGAACTTGCTTTTTTTAAGGTGTTGGAAAGCCATTATAATCTCGTAACTGTAACTCGAGCTGAAAGGTTTCAGGTCTTTGGATTTTAGCACGAGGGGAATGGAGCGTTGATTTCATTAGACGTGACAACTTAATATTGAGATTCAGTGTGCCTCTGACCATTCGATGGTCGCTGCCGGCCCTCGCGATTAGTGAGACATCACTGAACAGTCGCGTTTAATCTTCATAACAAAATCAATCTCCCTTTTCAATCTCAAATTTATTATGTACGTTGTTCTGAATTTAAAATTTATTGTTCCGATCTTTCATAGGAATTTTTAAGTTTTTTAGCAAGTTATTACAAGTATTTCGATATGGTATAAAAGTTATATTGAGAATAGTATTTAGGAGGTCAGATTTCATTTTTTGGTGTAATCTATCTCGATTCTTAACACCATAGTAACCCTGGTGTCATCCAAGGTGTTAGTAACCTTTTTCTGTGATTTGAGCTCCATCTATAATATACATAGATGAAGCGTGGCTCTTCCACTTTTATTAGTGAATTGAAACAAAATCCATCACCCTTACAAGTGTGTGCAGGAAACCATCCATGGGATTTTACATGGTACAGCCACGCTGCAGCTATATTATGGTTGTAGCACGAAAGGGTTGACTCGACCGGGGAAAGACCACGCTCCCACAGAATACGAACGTAAAATAGCAACTTAACGCTGCTGTGTTTCGTGTAGAGAACCGGAGACCCTTTCTACTGGAAATGAGGCTTTCGATCTTAGAAGTCACAAGTGACAATGCATCTGCATTTTGATTCGTAATTAAGGATAGATGTAGATGTCTATGGACCGCGGCAACCACTTACCATCAGGTAAACTTTGTGTTCGTTTGTCACCCTTGTCCTATAAAAAAATCCTTTGGTTCATTTTCCTATTATATATCTACGGAACAAATTCAATAAATAGATATAAAAAAAGAACTTACTCTTCAAATATTCGCTCTTGTACTTTTGGATAGGATCCTATTAACACTAATGTATACATAAGTACGTTCGCTGTGGTATCATGTGCGGCGACAATCATTGTATCTACTTCCTCTCTTATTTCCAAGTCATTAATAGCTCCCGTTTCGATCGATAATTCCAAAAGAAGATCTAAGAATGCCTTAAATTTTGTTCCTAAATATTCAAAAATATTACATTAGTTTTTAGTATTTCTAAGTATAGCTTGAAAAAGTATTTATTAAGTAAAAATATAATGAAAGGAGATGTATCAAATTGGGTTGTTGACATCGTTCGTAACAGTTATACAAAAATATGTAGGTAATATCACGATCATTTATAAGCATAATTAAATGGTTTTTATTTCTGTAGTATATGGGATGTACACGCCCCTAGCTGCCCCAACGAAGTTGAAATATCCCGGGGCCCATCAGCGGTAGATTCGACGGACAACTAAGGGTGAGGCCCAACGGCCTATGGCCTATGGCCTTTATTATCATTCTACAAAATAGATATAAGGCCAGGTAAATAAATAGTACGTACCTGGTTCCGAGGCTAAGACTGACCCAAGGCTCGGTCAGGCGGTAGTGGTGTAGGTGCATGTAAGTAGTGTGTGTGGTAGTATTTATATATGTGACCTGACCCAGCTGAGGTCAGCGGCCTGGTCCGATGCTGCCCCACAATGTTGTATCACTCCAGCGGACGTCACCAATTGACACTTCTTTCTTCATTTCACTATTTCAGTCTATCAATTTTATTGTACATTTAATTAACTTCAAACTCAACTAAATTCAACATTCGTCGAAATCAAACACGTGACACCCGACACAAATAAGGAACAGTCGTTCAAAGTTCAATATTCAAGGTTCAGTTCATGTAGCACCAAATTACAAACAGGGAAGAACGCGGTCTCTTCTCGAGTCACAAAGTTCAGCGTTACAGACAACAACTAAATTCCTTCGTACGATATTAAATACTACGCCCACATTAAGACTCAAAATCTAGACCACAAAACCAAAGACTGATCGCGCGAAACCGTTGCAGCGGTCACAAAAAAACGCTAATCGACAGCACCGCTGCTTTCAAGCTTAAACGCGCACAAAGACTCAAATTCTAGACCACAAAACCAAAAACTGGTCGCGCGAAACCGTGGCCGCGGCCACAAAAATACGCCATCGACAGCACCGCTGCTGCCAAGCTACTGACTTCTTCTCACGAGGCCGAACGCCGGGAAGTGGGATACCGCTGCCCCCCCCCCCCCCCCCCCCCCCGCGTCGCGCACGTCACCTCACACCATTGGGCGATGCGCCCAGTCGAACGTGATTGGATGGCGTTTTAAATGCCCAAGTTTGGGCCTGTACATGGGACAATCATAAAAACATTTTTTAAAACTAAAAAACGAAAGCTAGTGCTTTTACCATAGCAAAAACAAAACGTTTTTAAATATTTTTTTTGTATTTTGTCTATGGCATCAGATAATGAAGGCTATATTTTAGCCTTCAGTATCAAAAAAACTCATAATATTGAAACATTGAGGCGAATCTGTAGAGATTAATACTGAATAAAAGAAATCTATTTAGAAAATCGATTGAATAGGCTACGTTATTAAACTAAACAAAATATTTGAATAATATCGGACACGATTAAATAAATCGGCTATATGGTCGTTGATCATTGTCATTTTCGTGAATTAGTTTATCTTGACCCCTGGGTTTTCTTTCGATTCACAGGACAGTAGGTTGTTGCGCCCACATAACGACTTTCTTACTAATGTGTTACTTGGGTTTTGAGAGGAACAGAAGAGACTGTACAGCCTCCGGCTGCTTTTCTAGATGACATTTTATTAATAATTGCAGAAAATAATTAAACAATTAGAAAAGTTTGAGTTTTTGTATTTTATTTTATTTAATAATAACTATAATACGGCATCCTTTTGTGTTCTTTTCAATTTATTTAAATAACTTATCCCAAGAACAAGTGATTTTACTACATAACCTACAAATAATAAAACAAAATAAAAACAAAACCCCAGGTCTTATAAAAATATGACTTTTTGTCAGAAGTAACAAATGTTTAATTCTTCAAAATAAGATATATTTGAACTTTGTTTACGCTGAGCCCAAGCTTGTATGGAACGTAGTTCATCTCCTTTGTGCACTTTACCACTTTTGTAGATTTATACCCTGTACATGTAATACACAAATATATATATATATATATATATATATATATATATATATATATAAATTATTTAGGTTTAGGTATATTCTAGTTGTATACGACCAGAGTTAACTATGGGGTCAGTTACAACGTAGAACACACAGTTATAATGCCTGTTACCCATGAATGTTACCCGTATGAGAAAATCTAGGGGGCAGGCTTATATGCATCAGTGGATTATAGATAGTTTATATCGACAATGGTCTATAATTTGATTATTTACACTTTGATTCCATCAAAACTAAGGGCGTTATGAACTTAATAGCGGAGGTAGATTAAATAGAGGTACACCAGAATATTGAGATAAATATACTGCAAAAATAAGTTCGATGTCCGTTCAATTACTATCGTAAGATCTTATAAAAACCATGCCGTGGTATCGTGAATGGAGATATTATATTTGCAGAACTGTTCTCAAATGTACTTACTAGATTGAATGGTCATATTATATCAATCACTAAATAGTGTAATTAGGCAGGAATACCTTTGAGAAAAAATCCGATACACACATTTAATTAGGCTTGGCAGAATTGGAAAACCTTTGACGTGTCTTTAATTTTAGAGACTAAAGTCTTGAAACAGCGCGTCTTGCATTTATTCATTTAAGATAGCAAAACCTACACAATAAAAGTATGCCTACTCTAGAAACACAAAGCCGCTTAGCGAATAAGGGAGCTGAGAGCTGTCCTTGGAGTTTTGTGTTTGCAAATTGAAGTGTCATTAAGCTTGCTAGCCACATCTTTCATAGCAGTGCCAACCGTAAAAAGGAGTCATGGAGTGAAAATCGTTCTGAGGCCAAAGCAATAAAGACACTTCCCGGATGGATAAAGCGGTAATTTATACAAGGCTGTATCTGATCTAAAGATCAAGCTTAGTAGGTAGTCAAGACTCGCTAGAGGTCAATATCCAGCAATGGATAAACCAAGCTGATCATAATGGCGATTATAATATAAGCCTAAATGGTATTCGAGTAACTTTGAATTTGCGTTAACATACTGTCAAAAAATCCTGCAAAGTTTTTTTTTTAATTTTTTTTATAGGAGAGGGGGCAAACGAGCATGCGGCTCACCTGATGGTAAGTGACTACCGCCGCCCATGAACAACCGCAACACCAGGGGAATTGCAGATGCGTTGCCGGCCTTTTAAAAAGGAGTAGGCTCTTTTCTTGAAGGTCCCTAAGTCGTATCGGTCCGGAAAAATCGCTGGTGGTAAGCTATTCCACAAGGAAGTTGTGCGAGGAAGAAAACATCTTCTAAATCGCACAGTGGTGGACCGCCAATCATCCAGATGGTGTGGATGGTATCGGGAGTTCTGCCGCGTTGTGCGTTCGTGAAATTTGCGTTTGCGTTTTTCCATGTGAGGCCGAACCTGCGCCTTGTAAAGTTGCAGGCGTTGAGCCGGCATGAAATACTGTCCCGCTCTGCTGAGCACGCCAAGCTTTTTAGAGGCCAATTTGGCCTTTTCTTCCAAGTGACCACGAAACTGCACGCTACTCGATATGTCGACGCCAAGGATTCCGATACTGGCTGAGGCAACAAGGGGAGTACCTTGAAACTGAGGAGATACGACAGAGGGGTTCTTTTTAGCGGTAAACGCGCAAACTTGTGTCTTCTGAGGATTAAACTGGACTAGATTTAGTCGCCCCCAATCCGAGACTTTGTCCAGCAAAGACTCGACTTCAGATACAAGTTTGTTCCGGTACTCGGTGACATTTTCCCGAGAAATATTGGCACGGCCGGTGTAGAGAGCATCACCAGTGCTGTCATCCGCATAGCAATGAATGCTACCGGCTTGCAACATATCATTGATATGCAGAAGAAACAGCGTTGGTGATAGCACGCAGCCTTGTGGAACACCAGCGTTAATAGGCTTGTAGTCGGAGCATGCACCGTCTACAACGACCTTGATGCTCCGATCTGCAAGAAAGCTGGTGATCCAATTGCATAATTTCTCGGGAAGCCCATAGGAAGGGAGCTTCGAAAGAAGCGCTTTGTGCCAAACCCGATCGAAGGCCTTCGCAATGTCCAAACTAACGGCCAATGCCTCCCCCTTGGACTCTACTGCCAACGCCCATCTATGAGTTAAGTAGACCAGAAGATCACCAGCTGATCGACCCCGACGAAAACCGTACTGGCGGTCACTAATCAGCTGGTGATCCTCAAGGTACCGCATGAGGTGGCAGTTTACAACGGATTCGATTATTTGTTTTATTAAGTTGTCCATAGGATATTCAATTAGTATTTCCACAAATATTTAATGATTTTATGCGTAATCTAATATATTTTCCAGTTTCAATCAACCATAATCATTTTACTATTTTTTTAGTAAAGATACGTACCACTTGAAGCTTCTAATCTGTTCTTCTTATTATTTAAGTACGCAGCCTTACGTGCTTGCAATACCTGAACAGGAAATATGCAGAATGTAAAGTAACATGTTTTAATTATTTTTTTTGTTGTAACCATTATGTACGATTGTAAGAAAAAATGTTCCTCAGTATTTTTTTAGATTGCCTTGATTTAAAACCATTTTTAAATGATTAGAAAGAAAAAGTAGTGTTACAGACTAACTGTGGAGTACAGGCCTCCACTTATTTCTGAAGGAGTTACGGAGCAAGCTACTCGCGCTTCTCCAGTTGAAGGACTTAAAAAAAATTATAGAAATATTTTATGAAACAAGTTTTCCTCGCTTTATTTTCAGAGCACGTGGTATGCTTGTTCTTAAATTAAATTACAATTAACAATATCATAGATACCGACGTAAATCGGACTGATTGTACGTGTTCTAAGAAATTTACGGAAACGCTTTAGCTTAGCTTTGCCTTACACTTCACAAGCTTTACTAATAAAAACACTAAAGAACACAACGATAATAAAAACACTAAACCAGATATTATGTTTGTTTACCGTATTTGACATATTGTGCAATATTCTTAAACACTGATTTTCCTTCTTCTTTAAAGAAGACCAGCTATAGATGAAGTCCATGTGCAGCCAAGGCTTTTGAACTCTTTCTATCATAATGCTTAAAATATGCTCTATCGCTTGCTCATATTGGCTATTAAGAACGCTGTTTTCGCAGAAATCAACTCCCATGGTAGTTACTGTAACAGATATGTTATTTTATCGGAGTTATGTAATATGAAATCAAATTTTCTTCGTTCATAATTAATAGTCTATAAATCATGGCCAGATCGACTGTATTTGTTACTGTAACTAACCCAAAGAAATATAGATTTATTATTAGCTAATTAAATATTTCTTCGTAATTTTTTTATTGTGACAATGGTGACACGAATCTTATAGTGGTGGTGCAGGAATACCCACTATCCTAAATCGTACTGTGGGTGTCAATAGGCGATAGAGGGAAAGTAACCAGGACATGAACTGCAGCGTCTTCTTAGTTATAAATAGAAAATAAAAGAGCTGTAATTAGCGACTCACCTACCAAGCGTGGTAACCATTGCAAATATCCTACTTAAGAAGCAATCTTTAGGGTTGCCTATGTTCAGTAGTATATGATGATGATGAAAGTGAGAACAACAATCCACGCTGATATCCAGTGGATGTTGGAGCAAAAATACAACTTTATCTATCCTCTATTAAGAATCAAAATAAAAATGCGTTGGTACCTTGAGGGTTAAGATGGTCTCTGGTTATCTATAGTCACCGTACGAAACACGGTAATAGTTATTTTAAATTTGGCAATATGTACAAATCTGTTAGTGCTAACTATCCATAATTTACCAGACATGAAATGCAGACTAATCTCTTTTACTCAGCATTTTTTTTTCATAAAGTTGAATTGACAAGCTTATTTACAGTTCACCTGATGATAACTAATAATGCTACACATGCGTTTGCTGAAGACTAAGATGAAATGCATCACAGCCTTCCAATCGTGTCTATTACTAACCAATTAAAAGGGCCATATCTGGACTGCTGTTAAGGCAGTTGATACCTAGATGTTATGATTGAATAGACCTATCACAAAGTTATTCTTTCGGTGGGACTACTTCAGTTATTCAAACTTAGATATCATTTCATTCTGTAGTAATATTGGAATCATCAATGAGAGAGATTCGTCTTCTTCTGTGAATTAGATTAGACTATCCTTTAGCTTAACACAAACATAAACTGCCATAATATGCCTCTCATATTGAAAGACTAAATTGTTATAATCGCCACGTTTAGCAGGTAGTTTGGCGATCGCAGTATCAGATATCACATCCCGTTCATGCTGGTCTGGATATTTATATCGTTTATATCTTTTATTGGATAAGGGTGACAAAGAAGAACACAGTCCACCTAATGGTAGATGGTTGCTGTGACTCATAGACATCTACATCTATCCTCAATAAAAAATCACAATTCTGATGCGTTGTTACTTGTGAGGACTATGATGGAATGCCTCTTTTGCAGTAAAAAGGGTCTCCGGTCCTCTACACTTTCCATACGAAACACAGCAATGTTAAGCTGCTATTTTACGCTGGAATTCTGTGATAGCGTGGTCCTTCCCCGGTCGAGCCGACCCATTCGTGTGTTATTCATATGTATATATGATATATAGAGAGTATAACGACCCGTTCTTTATTCATATATGAGATAGTATAACGAGATTTATCGGATTTAGATATTAATTATGAAGATAAATAATAAATAAGAGGATACTTACAACAAACAGTTTCCAGAGCGTTACGTCGCGTGTAAACTAAATGGTCGAAGGGGCCCTTTCCTACCTGAAATGATCACAGATCAAAACATATATATATATACACTAGAAATATTTTTGATAGACAACAGTAACATAAAAGCCTTTACAATCGGCTATTAACTTTTCTGTTGAAGATTCAAACGACCGCGTTTACGGCGCAGGCACAGGCCAGCGTTAAATTGGCTACTATAGTTCCAGCTATCGAGCCGACGGTAGGTACTACAGAAACCTAAATAACAATATTGTGAAGCTATTATAAAAAAATAAATGATATATATTTTTATTCAAACTACTCTAAATTCTAATGTCTATATATATATTAATAACATTGATGTATGTATAATATCGAAATAACTGCGTTATATACTAAGCTGATGGGGTTATTTGAATTACTTTAAGACATGAATTACCTTCACGAACAGATAGAGAACTAAGTATTTCATAAGTGATCAAGACTATATTTATCCGAAAAATCGGAAATTTTCTTTAAAATAAAAAGGGAAAAAATAAAATAAATGGTCTTTGATTATCGTAAACCCACATAACGCCACATATGTATATCGATGTTCATACCCAGGTGAATGCGGGGCGGGTCGCTATTTTAATATATGATAAAATGTACAGAAAATGTCATAAACCATTTTGCGTAAGGTTGCATACTTAAAAATGTTAAATGCGTTGATTCACCTGATAAAATGTTTGACTCATCTACCAAAGAATATAATTTTGTACAAGACTTATGACTTGTTAAATTGTGTCACTCAATTGGAAATAATAATAATTGATTGTGGTCCTAAACATTATGAATTTAAAATAAGAAAGTGCGCTTCAAATATGACTCATGGGTCATGGGCAAATGTTATCTTTCATTTAATTATTTTAGAAAAGTTATCGACTATGACAAACCTAAGTGGACTGAGACAGCAATAACTTTAAGAAGAAATAATATTAAGAAGAGTGTAAGTAATGCAGTTTGGAAAACTTGACTATATATACCTACTATATTTTGTAAAACAGATGCGCTACTTTAAACTACACAATACAATGCTAGTAACTTTTTTTCTTATAGGATAGGGTGACAAGCAAGCACACAGTCCACCTGATGGTAAGTGGTTGCTGCGGCCCATAGACATCTACATTTATCCTAAATAAAGAATCAAAATGCAGATGCGTCGTCACCCGTGAGGACTAAGATGGGATGCCTCTTTTCCAGTAAAATGGATCTCCGGTTCTCTACACTCACCATACGAAACACAGCAGTGTCAAGCTGCTATTTTATGCTGGTATTCTGTGAGAGCGTGGTCCTTCCCCGGTCAAGCCGACCCATTCGTGCTACTACTATACTACTAATATAGCTGCAGCATTGCTCTACCACGTAAATATGAACTGGTTGTTATCTTATGCAAAATTAAACAAACCAGTAATCTTGCATAGATTACATAGATTACCAAGAAGCCTAACGTCAGCCGAGATAATTTTGTAACAAATCGAAAAAGAATTGTGAGTCATAGTTTGGGCAACAAAAAATTTCCCAGTTATATTTATGGTGGAAAATAATTGATTTTTAATGACCATAAACCATTTTTTTAAATAAGGTTTCTGAAAGAAACAGAGTAGAAAACTGTATATAAAAATTCCTATTTTTAAAATCCATAAAAATTGCATAATAAATTCATGAAGTGACATCGTCACCTTTTTAGAAAAGAAGAATTTTCATTATAGATTACATAAAAATAAAACTTAACATAAAATAATTAGGTATGAAAATGGCTAAACAAAATAGCTCAAAGTATAACCAATGCGTTGATGAAGAAGTATGCATATGTTTTGGCATGCCATTGGAAATCGTAACAGATCATGTTCTTTTTTATTAAAAATAGGTTTTTCATGTGACTTCGTCCGCGTCGATATTTTAGTTTAAGCCACTAAACTGCCTGTAACTTATAAATATTTATACCCAAATTTAACTTACAATATGCTGAAGGAATTTTATAGAACAAGAAAATAAATACTAAAAATTATAATAGAAACACAAAACCAACAAATATTTTTCAAATAAATCAGAATGTATGGTAATGTTGTTTGTAATATTATTTATAGATCATATAATGTTAGGGATAACAATGGGGTTGTCTATATTAGAACCTGCTATCATATTAGACCTCAATAGTTTGGTGTAACTTGTAAGACAGTTTTATGTCTTGAATGGGCACAACAGTGAAGTTATGGTATTATACATTTTATATTATGTGTAATATTATAGCGACATTAAGTTACTAAATGTGAATATAAAGATTATATATAAATTTTTGCATATATGTTTTTTTTTTAGTTTATTTACCATATCAAAAGAAGAAAATACACGTATAGGTCTAATTAACATCTAAAAACCACGGAGATTTGACTTGATGCTAAATAATTTAGTTTAAGTCAGCATATATGTGCAAGACACAGTCTAAGTAAGTTGTTAGGTATGTGAGTGGTTAGTATGTATAGTAAGAATATAAAGACTAAGAAAGTAAGTTAACAACTTGGTTAAAGTAGTAGCAAGGTAAAATTAAGAACTAGGCAGGTAGGTATGTTATTGTTAAGTAAGTAGATATAGTAGGCAATTATAATTTAGATATGAAAAAGCTTTTGAGTTTAGTTTTAATGTTTTTTTGTGAAATTTTTTCGCGTAAATCGAAAGATAAATTATTTATTAAATGCGGTACCTGATAAGCGGCCGTCCGCTGCCCGTAGACATTATTAGCAATGATGTACCGGAGCCGGTTTTGTGTCATAGCGCGCGTACGTACAGGTTGATCTATGTATGACTTTATGTTATCGCAAAAGAAATATTGCTTTAATAACATGAATTTAATTTGGTCATAAACTGGTAAGATTTTACAATGTTTAAAAATAACATTTTCATCATCATCAATTAGGACACGCATATTTGGGGATACAATATTTTTAAGAATTCTAATTTTTAAATAAAACTAATTTTACGGATTTTATCGCGTATATTAATCTATTTTTATATTCCCGACGTTTCGGGTGCTTTCCAGCACCCGTGGTCACGGGGGACTGAGGTGTTTGACGTCCTGCTGTCATAGTTAGCCCAGCTACCTTCAGTTTTTTAATATTAATTTTTTTGGTCCGATTTACGCAGAATGAGCTTGAAGTCTAGCAGTGGTATACTTGGGTTTGGATTTGATTTTATTAATTATGGGATCCCAAGCAGATGGCAGCACCCATCCATCTTCTCTATTGAAATTAGGATGTTTTTTAATTTCAATAGCCTCGCGAATCATCCTTGGGAGGAATCGGTGTTCTTTTGCGAGGATTTGTGGTCTATCAAATCTAATGTAATGACGGGGACGATCTTGAACATGTTCACAAACTGCAGACTTCCCGATACGTCGGTGCTTCACGTCAGCTATATGTTCTTTAACGCGGGTTTTAATAGATCTTTTTGTTTGTCCTATGTACGAGAGACCACATTCACAATCCAGCTTGTACACTCCTGCATCTTGTAGAGGGATATGACACTTGACGGATGGTAAAAATTGACCAATCTTCTGCAGCGGCTTGAAGTATGTTTTAATGGAAGCTCGCTTCAAGATGTAGCCAACCTTGTCTGTGACTCCTCTGACATAGGGTAGTACAGCAGGCACACGCTCGACTGTGGCTGGCTTCACTCGGGCACTGTGACGTAGGCACGGGACCTGAAGCTTGTTGTCTTGCAGTACTTGCTCGACGTGCTGAAGCTCGGCGGCCAGATGTTTTCTGTCACAGATCCCTCGTGCTCTCTGAAACAAAGATTTTCCCACGGTAGCTAACTGTGAAGGATGATGGTGAGATTCACCATTTAGATATCGGTTGGTATGGGTATTTTTTCTGTACACAGTATGAACAATAGTGTTATCAGGATTTCGCATGACTAAAACATCTAGGAAAGCTAAAGTATTGTTTGCCTCTAACTCCATTGTGAATTGTATTTTAGGGTTTATGGAATTAAGGTGGTTTAAAAATGCAGTTACTTTGTCAGATGGTAAAATTGTGAAAGTATCGTCTACGTACCGCTTGTAGAATCTTGGATTTACAGGAGCAGTAAGAAGGGCTTTCTCCTCAAAGTCCTCCATGAATATGTCGGCGACTACGGGAGATACAGGTGAGCCCATTGCCACTCCGTCTACTTGCATGTAGAACTCTTCTTTCCACATTAAATAGCCAGATGTGAGGCAGTGTTTGAGTAATACTGCATATTCTGTAGGCATGTTGTTATCTTCTAGCTTTCTGGTAACAATTGAGATGCAGTCTTCAATAGGTAGGCATGTGAATAGTGACTGAACATCAAAACTGACCATAGTTTCATTGTCAGCGAGATGTAGGTCTTTAATCTCACTAACAAAATGGTATGAATCCTTTGTGTGTGCTCTGGTATGTCCTCTTAGTGGTGACAGTATTTTAGCCAAGTGTTGAGCCAACTTATAAGTTGGTGAATCGATCTGGCTTACTATAGGACGTAGTGGAGCGTTTGGTTTGCGTATTTTCGGTAACCCATACAACCATATAAAAATAGATTAATATACGCGATAAAATCCGTAAAATTAGTTTTATTTAAAAATGTGTAGTGTTCGCGTAAATATAAGAAATCATTAAGAATTCTAAGTTGAAGATCATAGATCTGTTTTAAATATGATTTGTACGTCCGACCATAACTTGACAAACCATATTGAATATAGGATTCAGCCAGAGAATTGTAAAGCATCATTTTTACTTTAAATAGTATGCGATTTTTTAAGATTTTTATATTGGCTAGAAACTGACGCAACTTATTACACACGTGTTCAATGTGGAAGCTCCAGTTAAACTTTGAGTCAATTATAAGACCGAGGTATTTTTGTGTGGTCACAACTTCGATTGTAGGACATTGGCAAGTTCCTAGTTGATGTAGGCGGTCGTGGTTATGAACAATTAATGGGTTTTAAATAATTAACAATTAATGTAAATGTTTATTTATGTAACAGTAAATATTAA